ACTCCCAGAGGCGCCAAACCAGGACTGGCACGTAGATGAGCCCGCAGCTCCATCGGCAAGTACGCCTGCTCTGTAGCTCTCTCCAGAAACAGTCCTATTTGACCTGGTGGTGGCAAGCCCTGTGGCCTGGTCCTCTCAAAGGGGGACTGTCTAGCGTCCAAAGATGGAAAGAAGAGCAGGGCTGGAATTTGTCGAAGGGTTTCAGATGCGTTGATGAATGGTGAGGGCCAATCGCCAGTGTGCGAGACTGAACGCATGCCATTTTGACCACTTAGATGTGCAGGAATGGACAAAAGCATGTTGAGAGCGATGTTTCCGCCACTGCTGAATCCGCTCAGACCCACGTGCTGCTCCTCGATGCCTGTGATGCGGTCATCCGAGCGTCGCGCAATTTCACGCCTGAGGTATCGACCCGCCTCCGTCTTGCCTCCTTCAGCATCATCTTTGGCATCCAACACCGCCTTGACCACATCCTCGGCGTCCAATAAAGCGGCGGGAAAGTCCCAAACGGGACCCATGCGGTAGTGGACGGATATGGCGATGACACCAGATCGAGCGAGAGATGCGCACCAAGGGGCTTGCTCGAGCGGGCCGCCCATGACGAAGCTGCCGCCATGAAAGTCTACGAGGCAAGGACGGGTAGTGCCTGTGAACGCCTCCTCCTCGCTGTTCGCCTTGCGTTGGTGTGCAGCGGGAGGTATGAAGACGTAGATGGGAATCGTGCGACCTGTGTCTCTCGAGGGCAGATCAAGGATGTGAGGCATGGGACCCATAGGGCTGGTAATGTGAAGTGCCCAGAGCGGGGTGAGGTTCGGTATTTGCATGGCGTACGTCACCAGCCTTGTAAGCAAACTTTTGGGTCTCAAACTGGACTTGTCGGGATGCTGCGACTTGAGCGCCTCCTTAGTGGCTGCATCGACCGTCTGTGGTGCGGCGGTGGAAGTGCGTTGCACGGCATCGTAGGCTGGGCCATTGGAAGTGCTGTGTGCCTCCATGTTGGTTGAGGGGCAAAGAGGCTTCACGGTGGCGGTGTGATCGGATATGATGGGCAGAGGTTAGTAGTGGAAGTTCATCGGGAAGAGGCAAGCGCCAAATTCGCGATTCCGGCCGACATCAGG